CTGAGTAACCTTACACAGACACAGAACTGAATACATCTCACACCAGCAAACTGTGCACTTGTACCTCCCACCTCAGGTTATACAATGTTCCTCTCTTGGCAGGTATCTCTATGCTGCAAATAGCATCCTATATCTAACTTCCTATTATTAGAAAATGATACAGAATTCTTATATTCCCCTTTTTCGATCCTGCTCATCAAATGCATTGGCACTGCTAGCAGGAGCTCCTTCAGATAGTCTCTGTCTTCCACTACAACAGTAAAGCAACCAGGGAGGGAGGATAGAAGAGGGTATATAATGGGTAGGGGATATAATGTCATAGGTACAGAGCAGCTGGAGCAGGACAAAGTTGAAGACATAGAAAGGAAGATAAGGGGATTCAAAGACCAAAAGACTACAAAAGAGTGATCAGATTAGAAAAATAGTCTCACTCATGTTTATGTTTAAAACTGTCACAGAGTCCTGCTACAGAAGGATGGATAATATGGGACCTGAAATGTGAATAATGCTGACATATTTGCTCTTCTTAAGTAGTGCAGTTAAGTAAAAACAACAAAAGACAGAAAAGCATCTTCTTAAAGTTTTGTTGTGACGAAACAATTTCAGAACTAAGTATTTGGAACTTCTAATCAGGACAGCTAATGAATGAGCTGAAAAATGTGCTGAAAAGGTTCCATCAGATCAATCTGGAAGGAGCTACTCTGCAAAGAAAAGTAAATTCCATCAATTCCAGAAACACAGAAAATTGATAGTTCTTGCGGAATATGTGGAAAAACGCAGAACCTTAACCAGCCTTCTGACAACAGGCATGTCAAACACACTGCTTGATCAAGTAGACAGGATTTGGTCCTACATCTTTTCCACTGTTCTAAAGCTCCCTTTGTAATGCATGTTTAGCAGTAAAAATGAGCCAGAAATGTTTCAATAGCTAAACCAGATGAAGCTGATTTGCAGTGGGGGACAGGATAGGTTCTGTGTCTTTCTGAACTTCCGAAATGAGCAGCCAACATAGCGATGGAGGCAGAGCATGCCAAGGGCTGGCTGCAAGGGAAACTCCTTCTTACTAAATTCCTGCGTTCTGGTCTCCCTTGCTGTAAACTGGAAACATTTGGTTTAGAAGCAGTGTCCTCCTAGAATCAACTTATTTAACTGCCAAGACCCACAGGCTTGGAAAAGGAGCTCTCCTCTTTCCACTCCCCCTGTGGCCCCCAGAAGAACCCAATCTCTGCAGAAGCACATGCTGCAGTGAGAGGCAGAACTAGTTGTCTGGTGAGAAACTTTTTATTTCCAGCCTGTCTCCCCAGACGAATTTGGTCTTCACCACAGAATGAGTTTGACAGCTCTGCCCTCCACCATGAATGATTAATTTGTTATGGGTGTCTAGTTTAACCAAAGATGGATTTGAACAGAAAAAGCCCTTGTATACTTGCTATTTGGTAAAGCTGCTTTAATGTAGGTGGAACCTCCTTCAATCAAATCACGGAAAGCAAGAAAACCAAGTCTCATTTTTAAATGTATTTTTTCTCATTGTAGTAATCCTCCTGCGTATATCAAAACTGATCATGTGAAAATATCTATGACAAGTATTTAATATTTAGATTCAGAACACAAACTGGAACTCAGAACTCTGTATTGCCCCAGATTGCCTTAAATGTGTCGAAACAGTACGGTAAAGCTCTATTTATTCAGTAGTCTTGAATAAAAATGTTTGAAAGGTTGAGATATCTGATTAAACCAAGAAGTTGAAACAAGAGAACACTCCAAACAAACATGATAATATATTGTGGCCCAAAACACAGGCATGCATATGGCTGATAAGGAATTTGAACTGTGTGTACAGACAGGTTTCACCAAACTACTTTTTTTTTTTTTTTTTTAGAAAGATGTGTATGGGGAGAGAAGCAGATGGGGAGGAAGAGAAGCACCATATGAAGCTGAGAGAAGACAGAAAGAAGCATATGTTGTGACATGAAGACTATAACCCTGAAAAAAGCTAACGGTAAGTGCTGGCTTGAAGAAGCTTTGAACACTAAGCTATGAAACACTCTGATTCTTCCTGAGTTCAAGGAAATAGGATGTTGCATATTCACTCTGAGTAAGTGGAAATCCATCAAAGAAATAACCAACTGATCAATTTCTTACATAAATAGGAAAAAACCTGCAGAATTCTAATTTTGGTATAATGCTGTAATTAAAAAAGGATAAGCCAGTATGTTCAGTGTAAACTATTATGAAGATACCTGGAAGTGACAAACTGCAAAATAAGAAACAAAGAAGTTTGGTTTAAGGACACAAAAAGGATTTATAACAAACTAATATCTGTTGAGATCTATTATTCTTTGTCTGAAATGTGCAGGAGAAAATAAGATTATTAAATAATTTCCTTTTTCTTGTAGATGAGTTAATACTCACACCTGTAAGAAATCAAGCAAAAGATTTTTGGTTTTCACTTAAGAGATGAAGGGAAAATATTTGTGAAGGGGGAAAGAAGTTAAGACTTATAAGCAATACTAAATGCAGGTTTTTTCACAACTGTTATTTACCATTTATAGGCAGAAGGAAATGAAACAGTAAACAGGTTCTCAGACCAACTCAGACTCTACTGACTGATTAACATATGGACAGGGATAAGTTGGACAATGTTACTGTGTTTGTAGGCATTTATTCAAGAGGTAGAGCACTTGCATGTATTTAATTTCTCCTTCATAAATTAATAGCTAATTAAGAAGGTAATTTAAATGCAAGTCACATAGGGTTTTATGTTAATTTTAATTCAACTACCTTTATGTAACTACAATCTATCTTACAACTGAAAGTTTTATATGGCATTTTGTTCTCTCATACTGTTCAACTTTGTTCTTGTTTCTTCAGACATTTTGAGAAGCTTATGCTAACTTATTTAAAACTAATAATTTACAAATACTACAGAATTTCATTAATCAGATCTTGTGGTTTTCTAGTGCTAAGCTTCCATGTTTCTTAACAGTCTATTTGTTTCTTAATGAAGAAAGAATAAATTTTGTGACACCTACAGATTAAACACAGTAAATGCTGGTTGCCACTTTCTGCAAAACCCGTACAGGCAGACACAAAAGCTGGGGAGGCTTATAAGCTCACTGTGTTGAACCCTAAAGAAAAGGAAAAATATTCTTTACAGCTGGGTCATAGAATCATAGAATCCTAGGGGTTGGAAGGGACCTCGAAAGATCATCTAGTCCAACCCCCCCTGCCAGAGCAGGGTCACCTAGAGTACATCACATAGGAATGCATCCAGGTGGGTTTTGAATGTCTCCAGTGAAGGAGACTCCACAACCTCCCTGGGCAGCCTGTTCCAGTGCTCTGTCACTCTCACAGTAAAATTTTTTTTCGGATATTCACCTTGAACCTCCTATGCTCCAATTTGCACCCATTACCCCTTGTCCTATCACTGGTCATCACTGAGAAAAGCCTAACTCCATCTCCCTGACACTCACCCCTTACATATTTGTAAACATTGATGAGGTTGCCCCTCAGTCTCCTTTTCTCCAAGCTAAAGAGACCCAGCTCCCTCAGCCTTTCCTCATAAGGGAGATGTTCCTCTCCCTTAATCATCTTTGTAGCTCTACACTGGACTCTTTCAAGCAGTTCCCTGTCCTTCTTGAACTGAGGGGCCCAGAACTGGACACAATACTCCAGATGTGGCCTCACCAATGCAGAATAGAGGGGGAGGAGAACCTCTCTTGATCGACTAACCACACCCTTTCTAATGCACCCCAGGATGCCATTGGCCTTCCTAACCACAAGGGCACATTGATGGAGCATGGTCATCCTCCTGTCTACCAGGACCCCCAGGTCCCTTTCACTTACACTGCTCTCCAGCAGGTCAGCCCCCAACCTGTACTGGTAAACTATAAAAATTTAGACATTTGGAAGCAGAACTTCCTTGATTTCTCTTGTTTGATCTGTTCCTCTTGAAATAAATAATTAAATATTTGTGGCTAGAATGCACAAACGAGAAAGAGAGAGACTTAGTAGTCTCTAGTTTTGCATACAGGGCACTCAAATGGCAGACCCAGGTTCAAGACCTTGCGATGAACAAAGGAAAGGAGCAATTGCAGCTCAAATCTTCCACATGAGGGTCAGCACCTTAGCCACTGGCTATTTTTGTGATTCAGAAGAGCAAAGCTCTGTTTTTTTTGCATGATACATGAAAACGTTTGACTTCACTCTTGTGTTGAATAGAATGAACTCTTAAAAACAGTATTTAACATAGCTCTAATTAAAACTTCAAGTACTATATCATCACTTGCACACAATAACTATTCTCTATTTTGGATCATGCTTTTTAATTTTATTATTTTTTAACAGGAGTACCTGTAGAATTGAGCTGCCGTTTGGTTATGTTCAGCTTTGCACATGTTAAATTTAAGTACAATGTAAGTTTTACATCCAGAGTTTGACTGCATATGGCTGACTAGCCCTTTGTTGTAGGAGAGGTAAGATTTAACAGTGGATTTTACCAGTTCATTACTTGCACAGAAAAATCTATAAACAGAAGGAAGCATTAGACAGCTACTCAAGTGACCTGATTCTGCTGGTTATTCTAATACTGACTTTCCCTGTAACACTAGACAAGTCACTTTGATTCTCCTTTATTTCGGACTTCCTCTGTCGACCTCTACATCTCTCAGTAACTCATTGAGAACATTTCACCCAGATTCCAATACAGTAGGAGCCTCAAAACATACTGATATACTAGCAGTAAAATTGCATTACAATCAACAAATGCCCATTACAATTCATTGAAAATATGGTAAAATACTATGTTTGCAGTCTATAAAGGAGTTTGATCTGTGAATCTTTCACAAACACAACTTCCCAAAAACCAGCTGAAGACTAACAGAAAATATATTTTAGCAATACTAGCTTCTAATACATTAATATTTCAGTTATACAGTGACTTCTTTCCTTAAGCTTTGAAACAACTTAAAAACCCCATATATTTTATATTTGCATCTTACCTGTGAGAAACAGCCCCCCAGGCACCATGCTTATTTGTTAGTATGTTGAGTATCTTCTGTTTCAGCTGATTGGCTGTAACATGATCTCGATGCTTAGCAGCACTGATAAGATGATCACACATTTTCTCCTCTTCTCTTCTGTCAGCAGCATACTGAGCACACTGTGACTAGGAAGGAAAGTACATCTACTTCATAAATGAGTATTTACTAAAACCCTTTAAATATTACAAGAATTCAAAATATTTTTAAGAGGAATAGGACACACAATTCAATTTAAATGGTTCTGTTATTACATATAGTCATACAGAATTGCAATTAAAAACATTTAGATATAACTTCCAGTGTGTATATGTGTGACCATGGATATGCCTTTAAAAGTTAGGCTTTATTTGTAAAGGTTTCATGTGTTCTCACATATAAAACACAGTTATAACATACATAAAAACACAGTTATAACATACATAGCATAATACACAGGAAAAAAATACATACACTGTATTCATTTTTTAAAATTGCAATAAACCCTACAATTAAAAAGCCATTTGATAATTTTATTATTATGGATGCTAAAGACAAAGTACTTTAACTGTGGAATTAAGGAGTATATTTCCATTTCATATCACAACATGAAATATTTTCATAACATACTATCACACCTAAAAAACTCTACAGTCTAAAAACTGCTCATATTTTAAACTGAAAAAGACCTAATGTTTTCATCATGTTTCCTTTAAGAGATAGATACCTCTTAAAATAAATGCTGTGGTTATTGACCTTCTTGTAAATTTGCTTCTAAAACTGTCAGACTTCATGAACTCTAGTTTCGAATAAGGCCGTCATTATGTATAATAGACAAAATTTATTTTTTCCATTTCTTAAAGTTGTGTGAGGTTCAAATTCAATTCCTCTTCCTAATAAAGATTCTTTCCAAATTTCTAGGCAAAGCAAATGTAGCTGTGCTCATTAAAATCCATTTTGAGCATCATTTTCTAGGTATAAATAACAATGGTTAATTATTCTCAAAACAGCTAACTTTAAAATCACCTTCTAAGATACATTTTTGCATGCACAATTATTGTGCATAATTTTATAATGTTTAACCAACACTCAGTGCTGTAACACAGTGCTGAATAGAATTCTATTTTCTAGTATGCAAAACTCCTCATACTAAGTTATAGTTTATCCTCTGTCTATTTGCACACTAGCTTTTTAATACAAATCACATTAGCATTCAGTAAGATTTTAACAGTGATCTTTCCACTGTATTACGGCCATTATTTCAAGTAATCTATCTGGCAAAGAACAATTATTACACTAACTCATAAGGGGTTAATTCATTTTTCAATTTATCTTCTTGTACAGGGAAGTACCAATTAGTACAATGATCTGCCTTGGTAATGAGGTTAATATTTCACCAGCTCATTGGACAGTAAAATTAAATTTTCGTTTTTCTTCCTGAACAATTATAAAGGTTAACAAAATGAAAGTTAACTGTGAAGCACTCATTCTGGGAGGCATTTCTCTGGCCCTGACTGCAACTGGAGTCACAGGATTTGAATGCTGGTCCAATGGCCTCCCCACTCTGCAGGCGACACAGTAACTTGGTGCAGCTTGGGCCAAATAATTTCACCCATAATGATTCAATTATGGGTGAAATGGTAAAAAACTTTAAAAGGTAAAAATAAAATAGCCACTCACTTCTCTGCCTGGGGGCAATGATTAACATGTACTAAACCCCAGAACATATACTGATACAGCATATTAAAACAAAATGACAGATTTACAATTATGCAACAGAAAACTACCAGGTATCTCCTTGTCCCTACTACTTTCAAGTAGGATGAATAATAAAATGTTGTTATATACCTACCGTTATTAAAGACAATATATAAAACATTATTTTAAACTTCAACCATCAGCTTGTTTAAGTACATCTGAGTTTCATATTTAACACAGGCTACATTTCATAATTTACTTTTATGACTTGCAGATTTTATCTTACTCATCTAAAACATGTAGCTGAGGTTTTTCATGTGACAAATATAATGAAAATCTTCATATATGAAAAATGTGTTAGTTTCCTTACAAGACAATAAGACTGACTTAGGGCTATTCCTTTAGGGAATTTAGTTAATATTCTAAATCCTATTTGCTAACAGAAGCTGGAAGTTAATTGAATATTCTCATTTTGTCTGCAGTTCTGACAGATCTTATACCTCAATGTATTCTTCAAAGAGCAGATAACTCAATCTTCTATTGTCATCTTAGGTTACTGCATGATGCTCTGATAAATATCAAATGTTATTTATTGTTGAGGCAATATGAAACTTCACTCTGACAGACACTTAATTGTAAATGTGATTTTATCTAAGTTCAAAATATCCAGTATATGTTTGGTAATAAAGTTGTTGCAATCCCATATGACAAGTGTCTGCTGTCTGCTCTGACAAAATGAAGTAAAGGTTATGTGTATTCAAAATGACAACAGATATCTCTGTGGCTCACACTTTTCAACTAGGTCAAGGAGCACAAGAACTAGTACATCAAAGTGCACATTTAAGAGAGCTGTTCCAAGGAGATAAAAACCTCATCAAAACTAAGATTACTGGATCTTATTTCTAGCCACCAGGTGCTTGTTGACATTTTCTGACAGATGAATACATTGATATGACTATTTATTATCATCAATACTAAGGCAGTCTATCTTAATCCTAGTGTTAGGTCACCTGTGTATTGAAACATATGGGAATGTATGTTTGTGCATATATGCTTACATATACACAAATGTAAGGAAGCATAGGCAAGTTTGGAAGTAATAAAAAACAGTGATGATGAAATGCTGTATAAAACACCATAAAAATTCAAAAACATATTTTACAAAGTCATGTAAAAAATTAAATTTTAAATTTACTTCATCATTTTTTTGCATATTTTTTAAATAGGAAAAAAAAATCCTGAAGAAATAATAAAAAAAACCTGTTAAATTGAACCACAATTTAATAATAGCCTTTTGTATATTTGTATCATTTTTAAGCAAGGTAATTGAAATTGTATACTGCAACACTCACTGACGAAAAAAGCAATTGGATGTTGATGCCTTTTAGGACTAAGAATAATAGAGATTAAAGAGGTATGGAGTCATCAGCTGTTCTGTTGGTTCTTCCAATGCTTAAAAAACCACAATCTTACTGTCAATGATTCCTAACTAGCAAGAAAGATATATATATAATATTTCAGTGTATAAGTTATAGCAAGTAAATGTTTTCAAGTGCTCCAAAATGTAAAGTGCTCTAAAAAATTACCTTCAAATACTAATTCTGTTTAACAAAACATTTCTATTTCTTATTTTTCGTGAAGTGTCTTCAGTGTATTATTTGTTGTTCTTTCTTACTGAACTCACATATATTGTTGATAAAATCTAACAAAAATAATTACCAATGTGATTTACATTACTATTTGCAATAAATTACAACTAAGTTCTTTGAGAACCTGAGGGTCTGCCATATCAGTTTAGACATTTTGATTAAGGGATTTCTTCAAGCTGTAAATGTTTTCATGAATTTCAGTGAGAAGCTGAGAAATTAAACCCATTCCTTGTGTTTGACATTTACCAAAGCTTTTAAAAACTAGTTTTGAAATGCCTTCAATGTAAATTTCTTTCTTGGAAGAAAAAAATCTTTATTGTATGGGGTTACAGTCTAGGTGACAAGTGAGTGAAAACAGAGAAGCAGAAATGCACCAACTCTCAGACTTACCTCAAACTCAGCATGCTTGTGGACATCTTCAGCTCTTTGTCGGTTTAAAATAAATTCTGCTTCATTTGCAACACGCACTATATGGTCTTTCATTGCATGACATAATAATCTAGAATAAGAAAAAATCAACCTTTGCAGTTGATGTACTTCAAATAGGCTCTTTTACTAGATTTACTTAAAACAGAAAAAACCTGAATTTAACAAAACCACAGTAATGCAATTTGGCAAATAAGTTGACATGAAAAAATGTAATTTTCTCCAGAATTTTCTGTACTAGTGAAAGCACAAACAAATCATGTGATATAGAAAAAGCCTACTATTTATTATTGAATTAAAAAATTCTCTATGAAAACATTGTATGCTGAGTATGTTTTAACAGCAGTGTCATGTGAATATGAATACAATACTGTCATGAAAAAAATCTAGACAACTGCTTAAACTCTTATTGATGCCATTATATCATTAAATATGAACATCTCCATTTCAAAGTTATAAAAAATAATGAGATTACTGAAGATTTAAAATTCTATTAAAACTGTAAAATAACAAATATCTCTTATGTTTTTCAAACACTGGAGTGAAAAATGCCTCATGTTTCCAAGTTTTCATGGCTTCAGAACTAGACAAATCTCACTTAAAAAGAGGAGAAATAACAGATTATGATTGGACTGAGACTGAGGTTTTCGATCAGACACTTTAAATTAATGCTCTTTTAAAGACCACTAAATGAGATGCGTAATGAAATTTCATAATAATAATTGTTGCTAATAATGCTAATATCCTATTGGGCAGGAAGAATGGAAGCAACCGCTTTCTTGTCCCTACAGTCCATATCTGAGGCTGCTGTTCTATTAAAAATTGCTTTGCTATTCTTATCAGTGGGAGGAAATATCTTTCAGGAGGCAAGGATTTGACAGGTCTGTTTAGGATCAGGAAGAACTGTTTCTCTTTGACTGAAATGGGCACACCTTCTGGGATTTTTCTTCTTGCATCGCCTGGCTTTCCTGCCAGGGAAATACACTTAAGTTCAGAGTTTCTTAAGATTGTGCAATTTCTAGTCAATTCCATCCTAGGATTGGTATCTGGTACTTAGAAGGACCACAAATGAAAGTGATGATTATTAGAAATTAAAACCATGATTGCTAGACCTTACACCTATAAAATGGAAAGACCTGAACTCCATTCTTGACTCATTTGGTGTGTTCTACCATCTCTGAAGGAAGGAAAAAAAAGTAAACAAAAACCCAACCAAACAAAAAACCAAATCTCAGACTATTCTAGCATGAGAAAAAGTGCTTACAACTATCTTTTAGATTATCATAGAAAAAAAATAAAATTGAAATTATTCAGAAAGGATTCCAAACCTGGAAAAATCTCACATTCATTAGTGTCATAGGCTGTCAATACATAAAAAAAAATATTTAAAAAATCTCTCTTCACACACTTCAAATAAGAGAAAGGAATCAAGGACCTCTAGGTCAGCAAATTCAGTCCTCTACTGCAACATGCTGTTATGTCATACAAATGCTTTCATAAACTACCTTTAGTTTATGAAAGGCATTTCCATGAAATTGAGCTCATGAAATGTGTCTTCAGTGTATGTGATCGAGTAGCTTGACTCCAGCACAGCTTTGGAAGGTTCTCTGGAGGTTAAAATCCTTTTACTTTCCAAACCAAATGTATTCCTCAGTGATTTTTACTATTCAATTTTATGTAAATTTTGCCCTTAGGCTTACAGAATTCTTTATCCTTCTGTTGACCTTCTGATATTCCATGTATCCCTATTTTACTCTGACTTTTCTTGTATGGCAAAGCAGTTAGCAAAAGAGATTGCCTCTTGTGTTTTCACTAATTACATACACTGATTTTACCCTTTCCTGCAAGTGCTTAGCCAAAACTGTGAGGCAAGTTATAGTAACTATTTATATAGTAACATTAATGCTGCCCAATGAAAAAGCCTTCTCTGAAGCAATTCTAGAGCTGCATTTTCCTTTTTCTTAACCCTATATTCTGTTATATACAAGAAAAATTCAGTGAGAGATTGCTGACTGATGTTGAGAGAGTGATAAATCAGAGCTACTGGTCATATTTTTAATCTTTACACAAGTAGTCCTCCCAAAAGGCTAAGGAATTGTATGAGAAGTGTCACTGCAGACTTGCTGTACTTTTTATACTGTTTTACTGTAATTCATTATTTACCAAAAGAAAAAAGACAGTGGCCTAGAATAACATTTGGCTTTATCCTGTGTGACCATTTATTCAGTTGCACCACTGAAACTCCTACCAGAACTGAAGCCAAGTGGGCTGCTTTGTTCTTCCCTAGTTCACCTGATCACCAGCAAAAATCTTATTCCCTTTGAGCAGCAATTCTTACTGCATAAGGTAGAAATTAAACACTGGTTTGGTAATTCATGGCTTCTCGTTACCAAACCAAGCTTGATTTCTACTAATGCCTACAAATTTATGAACCACAGATAAAGCTCCCTTACTAGGAAATGGGTTGGATTTGGTTTTAGACAAAATCAAAGGACTTTCAGTAAGGACTCCACCAACAAAGCAATCTGGTATCATTTGTGATCAATCTTTCTGTACAGATAGCTGTGAAGTTTCCAGTTGAACATATGGAAAATGAAATTAAAAACTAGAATTAAAATATGCTAATACATTAAAATAGGACTTAAGTATCTGTTAAGAGTAAGAATAAATGGCAAGCTCTCCTTTAGCTAAAAATTGAAGCATCTCAGATGTGTAAGTGAGAACCAACTGAGTCTCAGGACATGTCAATTCATAAATACAAGTTATTTGCATATGTTGTACAGGAGTAGCTATGATATTATTTTAAATCTATGTGCCTTCATGTCCTGATTTCCTTCCACAGCAAGCTTATTTCAGAAGTCCAGAGTGCTTACAGGTTAAAGGGAACTGTGAAAAAATATGTGCAATCAGTCACAACCCCTGTTTTGCAGATACTAGGGTTCAAAAAGGCTGGTTTGTGGAGATACACAGTCACAGAATCACAAAATCTTGGGGGTTGAAAGGGACCTCGAAAGGTCATCTAGTCCAATCCCCCTGCCAGAGCAGGATGACTTAATGTACATCACACAGGAATGTGTCCAGGTGGGTTTTGAATGTCTCCAGAGAAGGAGACTCCACAACCTCTCTGGGCAGCCTGTTCCAGTGCTCTGTCACTCTCACAGTAAAGAATTTTTTCCTCATGTTGACTTGGAATCTCCTATGCTCCAGTTTGCACCTATTGCCCCTTTTCCTATCATTGGACATCTGAGAAGAAACTGGCTCCTTCCTCCTGACACTCAACCTTTATGTATTTATAAACATATTTATAAACGTATTTATATTCCAGAAGTCATCCAGGTAAATAGCCAGAGCCAGGAAGAATTTTTATATATATTTTTTCTAAATAAGTTTTGGAAACAGAGACAGTAGTAAGACTATACCCAAATTGTCCTGGAAACATGTAAAAACCACAAAATATTTGCAACACATGTAGATGTGGATTGGAGTAGGTTGTGACAAACAGTGCTATTTGTACATCAATCTGAATTGAAGGAGGAAAACTTGTATCTCACAAACTATTCTAAACTGATTTTGCTATTCTGCAGTCAGCTCTTCCTAGTAATAATTCCCCACAGAGACAAAAAGGGCTCATAGCTGTTACGCTGCTTGATAAAATAGTTGTGCTTATGTTACCCATACTTTCTTTCATTTGACATAAGCTAAAGAAGCGGATCATTCATAAGCAGTAACTTTCACAACAGATTACAAAATGAACATTTGTTATAATTTAGCTAAGGTCTTGCTTCCTCTACTCATTCCTGAAGTTCTGCCAAGTCGTATGTCCAGCAAAACAGATGTTTCTCTGTCTTACTTTCATCAGATGCCCATAGCTTAATTTTTCCAACAAGCAGCCTGGAAATAAGCCACTTTTTCACCAAACATGGTTGTTTTGACAATTATTGCTCTTAATAGCATTCATAAGAAATGAAAACTATTGTTTCACTTGTTATCTATAATAAGATTCATAAATTGGTCTGACTTGAAGAATTTAAGGTTCTATAAGATGCAGTACTGCTGTAAATACTTTGAAAGTAAATTCCTAGAAGCTTTAGAAGATAATGTCTAACACAGGGGTCTGATTTATATCAAAAGGGAATGAATTTATGAGAGAAAAGTTTGAAATTATAGCATGAAAAGACTGCCTAGCAGACTACAATGTAAGCACATCATTAGCAAGATAAACTTCATTGAGGGTAACTAGTAAAGTTGCAGAAATGGCATAGAAGCTACAATAGACTCAATGAAACTAAGAGCTGACTACCGAGAAACTATTCCACTCCTCATAAAGATTTTTATTTTGCATGAGAACTTTCTAAATAAAAAGGAAACCACCTCTGAAATAGTGACCACCAGCAAACATCCAAGACAGAGTTAACAACTGGGATGGCTTGCATCTCATAATCAGCCTCCCCTTTGAGATATGACTGGATCAGAGAAGTCTAGGAAGTGAGAGGATGCCTCAAAAAGACCTAAGAACTCCACCTGTACTGACACCACAACTCCATAGATGGTTACCATAACAATGTATGTTTTGTCTAACACAAACTATTAGTCCAGAGGCAGGGCAAGGAAAGCTTTAACAAAGAATATGAGGTTATAAAACGGTACATCTAATAGAGCGCTCAAGCTCACTCTTCAGCTGAAACTGAAATGCAGACATTAAGTGCCCCTTTTTACAGAAGTATCCCTGACAGGAATCCTCTACCAATGGAAGATGATATTTAGGATAAATTTCCATAAAGCAGCCACTCACAGGTGATAAAGAATTCTTCCAATCATAAGTTACACTTGGTGAGGGCAACCATACAGCAAAGGAATTTGGTTACATCTCTTGAAGACAGAATAATAAAACACCTTTGTTATTAATATTAGTATTGTATCTGAGTGCTACTGCTTCCCAGGTGCTATTTTCTGTCTGGATTTTGCACATCAGACTGGAAAAACATGCAAGTTGTTTTGGTAGCCCTCAGGTAATAATAACCATGATTTCTGAAGACCAAGTATCTCGCATTCCTGGATGATTCAGGTGAGCTT